CCATTTCTGGCCGGCAACTTTCAGCGTCATTAAGCCGCTGCGCCACCGCGTCCCCCTCCTATGCCCACTGTACCTATGTTTTATTTTGAAATAGCCCTTCTGTGCAGTGGTGTTCTTGAGTTCACATAAAACAATCTATATGTTTTAACTGGTTATTATCTTTACTTTTCTTGGCTTGGCTTTTTTCTACTTTCTCCCATTTAGATAATGAAAACATTTTCTTCTCCTGGACCTAAAGATTGTTTACTATGGACTAGATGCCCCCATGTCTTATTAATTGGGTTCAGTTTAAAAGCTGCTCTGTTTGATCTCTCCTGTTAAGTAACATCAGTTTTGTTCCATTCTGATTAAGGTGAAGCCTCTTCCTAGTTATCAAGCCAGATTGTCTCACAATTTTCTCATGCATAAGAAATTGAATCACTCGTTCCTTACATTATTTCCCTAATCTGTCTCTGATGAGTTGGTACCATTTCCTTTTGTTTCTATATCTGTTTTTCTCCACTGTGCAGTCCCATTTATCTGATAATGCCACAGAGTTAGGTGGCACTGTAAAGATTTTTTTAGTTGTATAAACTTAAATGTACTACAGCTCACACACCACAGGTCTCCATTTGGAAAGTAAGATCACTTGAACACAAGTAACCAATACAGGTAGTCCTCAAGTTATGTCCATTTGTTCAGTGACTGTTCAAAGTTACAACAGCGCTGAAAAAATGGACGTACAACTGGTCCTTAAAGCTTCAGGCATCGCAGCACCCCTGCAGTCACATGATCAAAATTTGGGCCAGCCCACATTTACAACCATTCTCCCTGCTGCCGCCCCCAGCTTTATCATCTTCTTCACCTGGGAAGAGGTGGGAATCCTGGGGAAGCACGCTGGCAAGTGAGAGCTCTGGGCAGGGCAGCAGATGCCATGGGCAGGCACTAGGGAACACAGGGCAGTAGCAGCAGGCTGAGACTGCTGAAGGCTGCCACCGCTGAGGAATGCCACCTCAAGCCCTGTGTCATGACAGGCCCAGCACTTCCTAGCACCTGCCCACGGCACCTGCTTCCTGGCTTATAGCTCTCACCTGCTGCCCTGCTTGCCTGGGACTCCTGCTTCTTCCCACATCTTGGTCGTGTGAGGTCCTCACTTAATGACCTGCATGGTCCCAGAGTTATGATGGCAACTGGGACTGCTGGGATTTCCGTCTTTAAGCGATGCAGTCACATGACATCGCGCTTTACGACCGCATCACTTAGCGATGGAAATCCCAGTCCCAATTGCTGTGGTAACCTGAGGACTACTTGTAGCTTTTTCTAGAGTCATTTATTCATTATGCTAAAATAAAATAAAATAAAATAAAATAAAATAAAATAAAATAAAATAAAATAAAATAAAATAAAATAAAATAAAATAAAATAAAATAAAATAAAATAAAATAAAATAAAATAAAATAAAATAAAATAAAATAAAATAAAATAAAATAAAATAAAATAAAATAAAATAAAATAAAATAAAATAAAATAAAATAAAATAAAATAAAATAAAATAAAATAAAATAAAATAAAATAAAATAAAATAAAATAAAATAAAATAAAATAAAATAAAATAAAATAAAATAAAATAAAATAAAATAAAATAAAATAAAATTGTGCTAAAATAATAGCAATGAGGACAGGTTGTATGCCACTTCAGAGATGCTGGGTGACAATAAGATGCCATAAAGGAGCAGACTGAGAGCAATGCTTCCTGATCCCAGTTGCAGTGCTCTGCGATTGTGAACCATCTGCCCCTTTTCAGTGAAGATGTTCCTGGCAAGAAGGATATTTCATGAACAAGCAAAAAACACACATTCACAGTTTTTCAGAATCATTTTCAAAACTGCCTTCTTTATTTTTTGGCATATATACAGTATTATGTAACATACACCTAATCTACAATTTGAACAATTATGCTCATTTTAAGAACTAACCATTTTCAAAGTTGTACATGCGCATCATGTAAGCAAAGGTGTTTTGGTTTGTCAGTCAGACGGTCTAGTCAGAAACCAGTTTGTTGGCTGACTATATATGTAAAATATTCTGAATGCACAATGCAGATCTTCATAAGAATTTTTTTCTACCACAGTCACTAAAGCAATTACAATTATAAAATCCTTCTGCAACTTCTGAGAGGATCTCATGTACCTCTTGAATTGGCATAATACTGGATACACTTGTAAAATAAGAGTTGAATTGAGCATGTCCTGTGACTTGTGAAGGATTCTGCCTACAGATGATCTTGGAATTCAAATAATTTCTCTTTGTATTCCCTTTGTTCCCTTTACAAATATTTTCTTGGTTTTCTTGTTTTTAACTCTCATTTGCTTCTTCTTGAGATTTACAACATCACTGAACAACTGTCTCCTTAGATATGGAAAACTGTGGAGAAGAAGGACACTGGCTGCACAACTGGAGGCGGCAGGGACAGTGCTGATGTTTTTGTGGGTGCTGGTCTGGCAGTGCAGACCAGTTCTGGCTACAGGACAGGTGAGATGAGATGTGATGGGATGGGATGGAATAGGGGAGCTTTGATGGAGAGAGGGATGAGCAATATATATAAGTTGTTGATGCTCCATCAAACAAGTTGCAGCTGGGGTGCACAGATTTGGGTGGCAGTTGTTGACCTGGAAATCTTCATCCATCCTTTCTGAGTCAGTGGGGGATAAAATAAATAAACCAGTCTCCCCTGCCTTGTACCTTCTAATGTTTTGGATTTCTATTCTGATAGTTATGGGAGTTGATCCAACAGACGTAGAAGGCACAAGACCAGGAAACATGGGAACAGACACATGTAATCTTCAAGTCAACAACTAGGGCCAGAGTTTATATAATATCGTGGCTTAACACCCCCCTCCACACACACGCACACACACATACCCACATTTGGGTGAATAATAGTATCTATTCAGATTAATAAATAGTGTATTGGCAAGAGATTGAAAATAGAGGAGGAAGGAGGGCGGAGCTGGCGTCGCGGCGGTACGGCGGGCGAGCCTGGGCTCCCAGGATCGCATCCGATATCTCCCCCCCCGGACGGTCCCGATGGACCTAAGCCGT